GAATGTAACATGCATATTTATCCTGTATTAGAGCCTTCTGCTTTAGTTTTGTGAAAAATCAGTGCAGAGACAGTTCAAGCACTGGGGTGCCAGTGATAGGTGGCAATCCAACCAACCGGAAACATTTTGATACTGTGCTTCTTTGCTAGCCAATATTCACTGAAAATTGAGGATAAGAGTGGATAAATAAAGGTTAGTAACCAGAAAAGGTATGTAACATGGGAGAACTATGGACTGATCATTAATTACTTCTGCTTCTTAAATGGCTGATGACTTCAAGTTCTGTGGAAAATATATATTTTTTATTTTATAGGAAATATATAGATTCTTCTGTGAACAACTTTGCATGAAAAACACCTCAAGCAAGCAAAACTGCTAGGCATAAATGAAGTGGAATCAAGCAAAGACTTGTGTCAGCAGTGTAAGTCCAGTGATATGACTGTTGTTACATTAATTCACTCCAGCTGAACTGCTTCTTTTCCCATCAGACATACACAATGCCTCTTACAAAATTCCTCTGAAATAACACATCTGTGCATGCCTAGTTCCAGAATAGTTAGTTACCACCCTATATGAAAAGATGCTTTCTCTTCTGGATGCTCTTGAATTTTATCAGTCTACTCCATACGCCTCATGCTGCTGCTACAGGCACTGATGATTGCCTTCCAGAAAATCTTGCAGTGGCATATAAGTCTTTTTGCTCTTATTCTTCTGCTGGAGGGGAAATGTGATGTATGTATTTTATTTAGCTTTCCTAATTCAGTGCATTGGCTTAATCTGTCAACAATGGTTGAATTCCTTTTTTGGGCACTGTCCAACTCAATGAAAGAATCAAATGTTTGTGTTACTGGAAGGGATCCTAAATCCTACTCCGAGTCAGGTTTTCATTTGTTTCTCTCCTGGCTTCTGTTTTTCTTGCTACTTTGCCTCATAAAAGGTACGGCGTTTGTTGATACCACTTAAACCACTGCCTGCAGATATAACATCCTCTTGAGAAGAAGCGTGTTTCTGAGTCAGGATCTGAGCGAACCCAAAAATGATATTGTTCCCTGTAGCTGAGCACTGCAGTTGCTGAACTTGATGGTAAATGATGAGCATGACATCATCTGAATTGAATCAATGGCCCACAGCTCTTGGGCATTGAGCTGAATCCTATGTTATCCTCTTCATATTCAGAGTGCTAAAGACCACACTGAGGACTTCCACAGAGTTAAAGTGTGCATCTACAGGGTATGATAGATCTCAGATGGATGACACCATCCAGCTGAGGAGATTCTGTATGCGTACAAAAACCTAAATATTTAAAACTCAGGCACCTGGTGAATAAGTGAGTGCTTTTTGAACTTTAAAATGCCTCAAGAGTGTTTGAACACTAAATGTGAACTTGATACCCAACCTTTTTGGGCTTAGGTGCTAGAGTCAGTGAAACAGATCTTGCTATAAATCGTAAAATAAAGGTAAAGTGAAGTTAATATGCTTTAAGTAAAAGACTGACTTATTTATTCATGTTAATAATAATTTAAGCAATTTGTGATTATGTATAGCAAATAATTTCACAGAAGCTTATCTTGAATAGGAAATATTTTTTCAAGTTATGGAGTAATCTATTTGAACGTAAACAGATGGTGGGAAGTATGTCAGGACAGCAGTCTTCTGAAGGTCATTGTTCACTAGCAGGAGACTGGCATGAAATACTTGTCATTCATAACCCATATCAAGATTAAAATGCAAGACACTTAAGCTGGAAAGCTAATATACTGCCTGACAGGTCCAGCTGTCAACAAAACATCTCTTCTTAATGACACCTGCATTCATGGTAACATAGAAAAACGAAACAAAAAGGGAAAAATAGATAACTTGAGCTCAGAAAACAACATTTAGAGAACAAAGAAATGACTAGAAATCACTAAAAAGTTATTTCTTACTTTAGTATGCAGAATTTAGTCACATTTTCAAACCACTTTGGAATGTATCTGGACTGTCTTTTGAGAGGCAAGTAGGTCAAGGGATTTGAATCTTTGTTTTGCCCAAACATGGTCTAACACATCATTTTAAATCTAACTTTGAAGTGTTCCTGAAAGAGATTCACTAGGAAAAAAAAAAAAAAAAAACATAAAAAAAAAAACATTAAAAAAAAAAAAAGTTTGACATTTATTTAATTGCAGCTTCCCTAAAATTAAGAAATGTAAGGTAGTGATTTTGAAAATGATTTGAAAATATTTTTTAAAAGTCTATAACCCAGAATAAATAGTTGAAGAATAGAAACTTGCAGCTCTCTTTTTTTTTTTTTTTTGCATCTCACACACATACGTAGCAAATTCAGAGACATTGCACCATTACCTCAATGCAAGTAACTAAACTGAAAACAAAAACAAAAACGTGATTACATTTACTTTTGTTCTGGAATTTAAATTCTACTTTATAGTGCAGGGCAAGGAAAATTTTCTGTGCAATGGTAAAAGTAGTTTCAAGTTTAGTTCCCCGGGCTATATTCAAAGCATTTTCCAGTAGAATAACTCACAAGTGAGGTGAGTTTACAAAATATATATGTATATTTATTAAGGATATGTATTCTGGTATACTATCAGTGGTATCAGTACTCATTTTCACAGATGTGCTGGAACTTGGCTTCTGTTGGCACTTCCCAGAGTTCACGACAATGTTTCTGGTATCTTGCTTTTGACATGGGTTGTAAAATTTAAAACAGGAAATTGTTTTCAATATGAATAGAATGAAATTATTTTACTGAAAACTACACTGGGAATAAATAATAATATGGCTTTGTATCTCACTGACTTTATTGTGTGGTGACAGTGTTTTGTTTTTTTTTTTCATATATGGCATTTTCTTTTGTGAGGTGGAATTATTCAGTATGCTGACATGTTATTGGAAGATCTACAGCTGATCTGTTTCCCTAAGCAAAGCCTAGTATCTCCAAAAGCTAAACTTAAAGATGTTTGAAAGAAGTTGCAATCTGGAATCATCAAAGAATGTCAAATTGTAGACTACTGAGTGCCCTCATTAAAGAGATGAGTGAATAAAAAAGTATTAGCAATATAGAAATCAAAATGAAATTCTTCTAATAGTGTAAGGAAAGATAGATTACATTCTCCTAAATATTTTGGATTTTTGCAACATTGATATTCATGAAGAGTAATCATTAGTGACTCTACAATGTACTTTAATCATAGAATCATAGAATCAAAGAATGGCCTGGGTCGAAAAGGACAGCAAAGATTATCTAGTTTCAAATCCCCTGCTATGTGTAGGGTTGCCAACCATTAGACCAGGCTGTCCAGAGCCACATACAGCCTGGCCTTGAATAGCAATGCCTTTAATCATTTACTGCAATAAAAAACAAAGTCATCCTACATTTTTTTTTGTGAAAGAAGTACTGTCACTGTAGGAATTCATTTTATTTATTATGCATAGATGTCTTAAGATTAACCACTTCAGCAAACCCCTGCATTTTCATGGAAAATTACCCTTACATCAAGACAAAAGCAGTCCCACAATGTAAAGCAGTTTGTGTCAGAGATAAACTTTTTTTACTGCATTCTATAATTATTAAATCATAAAAATAAGGAATGAACATTTTAAGCAAAGTATATTTCAATTTATATTCTATTATAAAGCTGTCATAGTTTAAATTTCATGAGTAAGGTGGCATGGCTATGTGGCACTTGAATACATACATTCTGATACTTCTTATAATACACTTTTTTACATTTATCTCAAACCTCTTCCTCAGATAAATATTTATTTTCTATTTCAAATTCAAGAAACCCATTTACATACAATTTAGCAGCTGGTCTGAAATGTTCTAGATAGTAGTAAGATAAGAGACTTTTATCACTTAATAAATTCCATAGCATTAAAATTGGCATTGCCTTGCCTAACCATAGAGCCTCCAGCTCTTGTCTGAGGGAGGTAAAAGTAACATAAGTCTTGCATAACCCACAAGGTCGATTCAGATTTCATAAGGCGGCTAAAATAGCATTATGTGCCTATGCTGAGGAAACTGAATGCCACCATCCCAGTAGTGCCATACCTCATAGAAAGTTGATGGTCCTCAAAATGACTTTATGGAAATATTTAGCAGCTACTCTCATCAAAATGTGAAGAGCTCTGCACTCAACCAGAAACATTCTTTATCATTTCAAGTGTATATTCATCCTAAAAGTGATGGATATGAAAACATCAAATCTAAAGAAGTGATGAAATGTGATAGAATAAATATTTTTGAAAGATTATACTCTATATAATTTTGATTTATATTTTAACTGAAGTTCATTTTTTTATCAATGCTAATAAAATCTCTCTCTCAATTTATTCTTTCAAAAGCTGTGTAATCCACAGTGAGACTGTCCTGCTCTGCTATCCTACAGAGATCTGTGAATTTTGGCACTGCAGCACTCTCCAGATGTATTGCTGGAAAGTGAACTGCAAGTTCTCAGCTCCTGTTGTTCATTGTGCATGCATGCACACAAACACGGAGTGCAGAACACAGACATACTCTGCATAATGGGTTGTACATATGGCATTAAATCTTGGCTTTACTGCAGGCTAATGGTGTCCTATTTCTGGTTTTAGGTCCTGCAGAACACTGACCACATGTTACTGCATGAAATCAGAAGTGTTAAATGGGAGATATAGCAACTCAACAGATTACAAAACTGGGCCTAAAGGTCCTGCCAAAATTTGTTGAACACAGTTCCAAGTGAGAAAAAAAAAAATCCTTCTCTTATTAAGGGGCTTCTGCTTCACTGTTTGTACCTTTCATTTTACAAAATGATTTATGGTCCCTTTTCTTGAAGGGTAAATATTTCTAAACCACTGAACCTGGGAGGATGCCTTGACTTCAAGGTGAAATGCAGAGAATCACACAAAAAGCACAGAACCCATCATACCTACCTACATAGAGACCTACATTTGTGCAATTTGTTAAGATTTCATTTACATTCCCTGGTGCACTGAGAGGGTGCTTTGAGGCCACTCACCCCTAACAAGCAGCTCGGTCTCATCTGACACAGTGTCTGCTGCAGTCTGGACCCTGCAGCCGTATCTCCCGGCGTGCATCAGCAGGATGTTCCTGATCATCAGGTCTGCCGAGGACGCTTGCTGAAACAGGCATGAAAAACCCATTTAAAATTTAGTAAATCCATGTGTTCAAGGTAGCTCACAGAGTGTTTTGTGCAGTGTGAGTAATTCACATCTGCGGCTTTCATCTTACAACATTTATGTGCCCTAATATCCCCTTTTGAGGATTATCAGCAGATAATCAGCACACTGCATTTATACAATTATTAATAAGGACTAAAGAAGAGGATTTGTGGTTTTTAATAACTTTGATTTTGCTTGAAGCACTCCATTGATATTTGCATGCTCAAAGAAAATGAATCCAAGCTAACACAAAGAAATTAATTAAAGAGCAAAACAGAAATATTTGATGTAATCCTTGGCATTGCAAATGTGCTCTTAGAAATGAAAACGAGTCTTCCTTCCTCTTCCACTTCTCTACAATGCAGTCATATTTGGAGTATGTACCTTGAATGAAATTAAGATCATTTAAAAGATGATGTTAATTGATTCTTATTGACAAAGGAGAAATTAATACTAAATGAGATCAAGAAAATATAACCAGATTCTCATTTTCCCTGTCTGAACCTATACATATTGAAATCTGAAACATGCAAACCCTGGATATGTGTGCACAGAAAGCTAGTTCAGATTTATGCTTTTCAGTATTCTAGGCAACGGTAACTACAGCCCCCCAGAATTATGAGCAGAAACTTGGAAGATGGAACAGTCATTTATTTTTTTTGAGAATGGATGGCTTTTTTTAGAAATATCTGTACTACTTAATAAACTGAAATGATAATATCAGATTTTACACATACACAGTTTTATCTGAAATTTACTAGAGTCAAATTTATCTTATTTCATCATATATCTATAAAAGGAAATCATTCAATTAGATTTGGTAAACATTAAACAGTATCCACAGATACTGTTATATTATTGTATATATATTGTTGTATCAACTGATCAGATAAGAGTGAATGAAGGCCAGCCTGAGCATATGGTATGGGAATTACAGTTTACCTTCTCAATTATAATCTATAATAATCTATACTAAAACAAATTATATTTTTATTAAATACAACAATTCATATTGTAAGTTATTGCATAAATTGCTTTTATATTAGAACAGTTTATTAGGAAGGGACCTTTAAAGTTCATCTAGACCAACAACCTGGCCACTTCTAGGCTAATCAGTCTTCTCTTAATTTTCATAACCAAGGCAAAATCTCTACCAAAGCATATTCACATGTGAAGAGGGAAAGTGGAAAGTCAAGGCCATTTAGTTTAATTGCTCAGAAGCTGAGCCATCCTGGCTGTCATCCTCTCTTCCAGGGGGCTCATGACTATAAACATCATAGTATTATTTGAAAAAAAGAAAAAATATATATATATTTAATATCTGTGTACTAGTTTAGCTGGGTAGACAAGCAGATATGACAAGAATCACTGCTTTAAGTGGAGAGCAGTGCAGTAAAAAGGTACCCATGAAACACTTGGATTTAATGCAGCATAACAGGATATGCAATTGGGGATGTTTAGGGCGCATGAGTGGAAAGAAACTGCTTGTGATATGTTTAGTATATATAAGTTTAGACACTAGCTTATTATTATGGATAATGATATTTTGGATACTATTTAGATAACTAGGAGCTATGTCTAATCAGGCCTTTTAAAAAAGACAAAATTATTTGCTGTTCAATAGCAACAAATGTCTTTACTAATTTGGGGGTCTTTACACCATTATATAAGATAAAAATGTCAGAATAATCAAATTTTATATAGTAGGAGTTTGATAATGTCTAACTTTGTGGATAAAATGCTGCTGTATTCTGAGATTTCATCCTACTTTTGTACAAAGTTACATAACATATAGAAAGAGTAAGCAAAGGCTTCATTAAGTGATGCAAGTGCTGTTTCTATGCTCACACTCATCCACTAGAAAGTGGACTATTCCATATAGACCTTAAAGTAGCCCTCATTGTTGGAAATGAAAGGAAATGTACTAGGAAGGTATTAGAAGATGTAGTAATAAGCCATAATAGAATCTTCATTATTTTGTGGTGATTAATGCAGAGATTCCCTCTTAGCCAATTCATTCTTTAAACTACTGTCAATATTGTGGTGTCTGGATTGTCATCACATTTATCTATGCTGAAAATTAGCTTTGTCTCTGAACTCTGCTGTCCTGAAACAAAGTCAGGAAAGGAAAGGCTGAGGCCAAACACTCACAGCACGTAAGAATGCACTGGAGTTTTAAATTAGTTTAAAAACAATGAGAATTTCAAAGAAGAGACACTACAATATCAGTGATTCAAAGTTTGTGCCCCAACCCCACCACTCCCCTACCTTCTACCGCTCCCCTACCTTTCTTTTTTCTGTTCTTGGTTTTGCTTTTTATTAGTGTAAATCTTGAAATAAGGATACTTTTGTAAGAAGAGGTTCAAGGTTTCAGTAAATTTTTATGGTCAAACTGATGTGCTGACTGTCTATATCTTGAGCCAATCTCCATAACATGTTACTACAGCTGCTTGTTTAAAATTTACAATTCATTTTTAAAAAATCCACTAAGAAAGAATGTAGCAGATACTCCATTAAGAAAAATGTCCTAGGTCAGAAAGTTTTTTTTTTTGTTGTTTTTTTGTTTTTTTTTGTCTTCTTTCAGTGGAAAATGACATTTCAACAAAAGCACTCTTTCCCCTTCAGGCAAGACACAGAACAAGTGAGAAGATTGCAAGTAGTATGGAAAGAGTTCACATCTTGGCTATATGACTCAGAACAGCCTGAGGTATCAGTGACTTATGTGATTCCAATATTGTTGAAAGCCAAAATTAGTGTGTCTAATTTTGTCTACATTTATATTTCCACTTTAGTAAGTGTACATTTTGAAAAGCTGCATGTTACTCCATTAATCTGATGTTCTTAAACAGAGCACATTTTGCAATACCCTCACCAGTGCAGAGTAGAGGGGCAGGATCAATTCCCTCTCCCTGCCAACCATCCTTCTCTCGATGCAGCCCAGGATATGGTTGGCTTTCTGGGCTGCAAGGGCCCATTGCTGGCTCCTGTGCAGCTTGCCACCCACCAATACCCCCAGACCTTTTTCACCAGGGCTATGATCTATCCTTCCATCCCGCAGCTTGTATTGTCAGTGGGGGTTGCTGCAATCCAGGTGTAAGACCTTGTGCTTAGCAAGTGTATTCATTGTTGTTCAGAATAACATTTATAACACATTTAATCAAGTATATAAATACTTGTATTTATTCGGTAAATGTCTATTATGTGGAAAATATCTTCTATTTAACTAAGAGAAGGCAGATTTATCAGTCAACTTCTAATGATTATAAAGAGGGGTAAAATTAACCTTCAAGGCCAACATCAGCTATGAACCTACTGTAAAGCTGAACACATTCCCTGTGTTCATTAACAGGCTGAAAAATAACACAGCTACTAATGCTATCTTTATGTCTAATGGTTCGTTCTAGGACAACAAATCATTGTGCCGTTTATATTACACTCCAGAGTATTTCATTAATCAGGTTCTGCATGGCTCCAGTGATCAGTGCTGTGAGTATTGTAAGCATGTGAAGGATCTACTCTTCTTGCTGCTCCAGTGTGGTATGTAGTATGTTATCTGAGGTCACAGTTATGTCTTCAATGTATCTAATTAGAATTACCAGTAAGGTTCTTCTTGAACTAATCTTTCACAAGAGCTATTCCCACTTATACATATGTTTACTTTTAATATAAAGATACTTCCCCAAACTCAAAAAGGTTTCAAGGAGCATGTAACATTCATATTTTGTTCAGTGAGCATCATCCTGTTGGATTTGTTTTTTTGCATCCATTTCCTTAATGCTAGTGATTTGCAGAGAAGACGTGAAACCAGAAAGTAATGCAGTAGTTAATACTTTCTATCCATCCCACCTCCATACTGAGAAGAAGCTGTATGAGGATTTTTTCCTGGCTGTTTCATAAATCCTAAGAAGATGTGAATTACTTTGCTGTGAACCAACCTCTACATACGGTTCTTAGAGTGCAGGGAATTCTGCTTATTCTTCCTGTGTGACTTAGTTCATTACCTTGAGCCAGTTGCTAGGAAACCTCCCTGTTAATCCGTCCATTCATTTCCTGAGTTTTTATCTCCAAATCAGGGTGGTTCCTTCAGTATCTATCTTTTCTTTTAAAAGTTTTGCACAAGAGCTATATATAAGCTGCCTTCACTTGAAAAGGAGATCACAGTTATAATGCAGAGCCCTTTCTTAGCGTCCATTAAGTCTTTACTTCCTCCTTATTTCTTCCATGGAAGAATTAAACATTGGTTTGATTATTGCACAGCTCATCACATCTGTTCAAACTGCAGAATCATATCTGCAAAACATGCACGAAACCTTACATCATTCTCTCCTCATAGTGTCATTCACTTCACCTGCATTCACATCATCTATTTCTAATACCTGTCATTTTCCACATTGGTCATAGTGCTACCTTTACACACTCCAGCTGCAGTTCTATGAGTGTAGCTCTGTTTTACCTTGTCATGAGGGACAAAAAGAAAAGGCAGATTAAAATCATGGATAATCAGTAGAGATGATTTTACACTGTGGGGGTCTGGGGTCTAGTAAGTTGTGCATTACTTGTGTCAAGGATTGGGAATGGGAAGTCCATCTGGCCAGCATGTGGTGAAAACCATCTCCTGCTTAGAGTAACATATATAAAAGGTTAGTGAGGCTGTTGTAACAGATCATGACACAACAAAAGGTTAAATCAACAGGGAAAGGAGTGGACAAAGCATGACTGCCATTGCAGGAAAACTTTTGTGATAAAAGCCTAACTGGTGTTTGACTCAGTTCCTTATTGCAACTGCAGGGATTTGCTGTGGCTGGCTCTCATCTTACTCACTTGAGAATTAGGTGTGAAGATGCTTTCCTACAAAGGGAGTTTCTATATTGAAGAGAATGGTTGATACATGGTACAAAAACTTTGTGAAGTCACCTTCTGTTTAAACTGAGAAGAGTAGAACAATGCTCTGTAATTAA